ATATATATATATATATATATATAGTGAATGTTTATTTTCATGTTCATTGGTTTTCCCAACCTCCTCTGTTGTTTCTGTTCAAGTTTCTTCAGCACCATTATTAATTTTACTTGAGATACAAGTTCTGTGAAAATTGTACCTCAAAAGTGGCAGATACATTTAGTAGAATGAAAGTGTACCTTTTTCACCCTTATTGATATTTGTTCATTTACTTTATGTTGGGAGGTACATCTTTCTAAGGAAGCACAAATAACACACACACACATTATGTGTTTTACCCCCAGTGGCTCAGTGGTATGTCTGCGAATGTACGATACTAAAAACCAGGTTTCGATACTCATGGTGGTCATAGCACAGATAGCTCATTGTGTAGCTTTGTGCTTAACTACAAATAAACTTACATGTTTTATAGTTCTTGTTGTTTCAAAATATTCCTATTAATGCTCAATTAGTCAAAAGAATGTTGCTTGATATTGCCCAACATGATGTTATTGGAGAACTTATTATTTATTTTAAATTTAAAGGGCTAGAGCATGAGACACTGAAGAAGCCATAACAGTTCTTTTTTTTTTCTTTGGCAAGGTGTATCTCTCCAGTAGCATAAATGTATTCAAAAGATAATCACTTATTTCACATGAAAAAGTTTGAATAACAGACATTGTGCTTGTAAACACCATGCAAGTTTGTACTGAACAACAGAATACTTGATATTTTTGTGACATTTTTCTCTTCTTGTTTCTATAACATGATATTAATTTTGTGTCCGAGGTTTAGAAGACACCAAGAACCTTAAACCTTAGCTTGTAGTAACTTACAGTAAAGTGAAGTTTGTTTTAAACAGAGACAAACTCTTTAGTTCAATAAAGTTTGTTAAGACATCATATTGGTAGAAGTTTTTTTTTATGTTTAAACTGACAATAATGCTTTGCTTGATTTTCTTGTAATTGACATACAGTTCATCAGTCTTTGATATCAGAAGGCTCAAACAAATTTTAGCTTTTGTCTCGTAATTGAACCTCAGTATTTTTTATCTTATTTTTTAAGTAGTATGTTTAATATTTTACCATAGTAGTCTCAGAAATTGAAATAATTAGCAACAAAAATTACAAAATGAAAATCTTTTTTTTCTTTTGATATTGTTTTGATTAAATTGACATTGTGGGGATTATAAAACTGAGTTAATGCAGATAGCCTTCATACCTAATGTAATAGGTTTAGGATGATAATTACAAGATGGCTTAACATTTAAATGCTTTTTGTTTCACATCAATTTTTATTAGAAAAAATATAGGGTAGATTTTATAAGCAGATCACCCTCTGAAAGGTTATTATAAATCTAGATGATGTTTTCTTTAAAAAAATCTGCAGGCAACAAATTAGAGAACACAAGTCTAACAAATTGGAAACTTGGGCATGACTCCAGTTAAGGTAATGCTACTGTTCTAATTGGGTGGTTGGTGTATGGAATAGTTTACCTTTAGATGTGGTAGAAGCTGCAACATTGAAAGAGATTAAGAGGTGATTAGATGAGTATTTTAGAGAACTGGATTGGATACAAGCAAAGATGATTTCTATATGTAGTTTAAAGTGTTAGTATAAACTGAGATAGTCTAGACAACTTCTTATTCTCTTTTGGTAATTCACAAATAGATACAAAGGTTCTAGTTAACCTGAACTCCCAGGTGCCCATACACATGAGATTTGACCACTCGTACCGAAGATGTGCCACAAAATGACCCTTATGCAAGGCAAGACTTTGCTTCGAATTTTGTACCATAAAGAACTAAACAGCATACAATTTTCACACACCTGTCCACCATTAACTTTTAACAGGTTTCATCAATCCCAAAATAAAGCCACGTCAAAGTACCACGTGATTAACCCTTTCACCTCGGGTAGGTCAAAGTGCACACACAGTTACATTCAAAATTTAATTAAACTACTTTATTATCATTGTATATGAATAAACTCAGCATCAGAACATAGGTGATAAACCAAAGTTTAGTATTATTTAAGTTTTAAGTTCTTAATTTTCTGAGGAAATATTTAAAAAAACATCTCCCCTAGTATGGGAACTGTGATGTTTGTTATTCTTGTATTCCCTCTTCTCTAATTTTTTTACCACCCCTCTGGGAAGTATGAAATTTGATGTAAATTACTCATTATGCTGTTGTAATTGCTCAGGCAAAGAATAATTTACATAGCATTCAATCTTATTTAGTTACAGAGCAATACAATAGAAAATGAGACCCCTCTTGCTATGCCCACCTGTCATATCTTCTCTTTCAGAACTTTCCTATAGTTCTCTCTGACATATAAAACTATATTATTTATAAAGAATAGAAAGCCAAAGTTTTTTTCTATCAATTGACATCATTTTATGTTTTCTGTACAGAGAATTGTCTATTTTACTTCCAGTTCAAACTTTATTCCCATGGGAAACACATTGACAAGCTTAGCTGAATTTTTAATGGATTTTGTCCCACAGTTAAATAAACCAGAAAAATTGTGATCGTTATGGAACATTGTTGCCTTTGTTTCATACTGATGGTACTACTGCATTAAATAATTTTTATTTCATTAAATAATGCACCAAAAAACACAGAATATTAACATGAAGTATGGTTAAGTTTTATCACTAGTTGACAGCATAAAAAAAAGACCCAGGTAAGTACTTTATTTCTCGTTTTTCATGTATATTTATTTATTATTATAAAACTAACTGAAATGTAAAAATTGAAAACTTTTTATGTTAGATAAAGTAAAATAAATATTAATAATAATAATTTTTATGATGTATGCTCATGAGTAGTCCATGCATTATGTAATTCACTACCATAATGTGAGCTGCACATTACCCACATGACTTACAATTTATATGGTATGAATATTAGTTAGACATGGTTCAAAGAGCAATAAAACAATAAGATTTAAGTATAAATAGATGTATGCTGTTACAAGCTTTAAGCTACTTAGGATAAACAGTTGTGGTGTTCTGTTACAATTTTTAGTCATTCCATAAAGAAAAAGAGAAATTTAGATTTACTTCCTAATTTTGTATGGTTACAAGGTCAGTCAAATCAATCGACCTCCTATAGTGTTATATATTATATCCTGAAAGCAAAATAAAATTATAAAATCTTGTCTGTTATATGACAGTTTTTTCATATTCTTTGAGTGATGCACATATTTTAGAGATAAACGACATCAAATGACATGTAGTTTTAATTTTAAAATCATCAAGGTGTTTGTTTTCTGCTTGAAAATAATTTGTAACATATCATATTTAGTAGTCGGTACACAATAATTTATTTATATACAATATGTTAATTGGACCAAAATAAATCTTAAAAGAAGACGAAATCAAGTCGTCACTTTTAAGTAATGATACCTTTAAACAGAAGAAGTATTTTCATGTTTATTGGAAAAGCTGTTCATTTCATCCTCTTGCAAGTTGTCCTATTTTAGCACTTACTGAAGGTAAGCAACATGTAATGTACATTATAAATAATAATTTTTTGAGCTCAAAAGAATACTCAACTTCTTTTACACAGAGAAAAAAATCATAAAGAGAAACAATATGCAGTATAAATTGTAAATATAGTTTTTCATTTAATATTAACATGTTTTCCACTTGCAGAAGGTAAACATGTAGTGTACATTGTAAATGAAGTTTTTCATTTAATATTAACATGTTTTCCACTTGCAGAAGGTAAACATGTAGTGTACATTGTAAATGAAGTTTTTCATTTAATATTAACATGTTTTCCACTTGCAGAAGGTAAACATGTAGTGTACATTGTAAATGAAGTTTTTCATTGACACTGAAGTGCTTTTTTTCTTTTTTCGAGTTTATTAAATTCTATTTATGGGACCCTTGAAAATCTCACTGGAACTCTTGAAACAAAAAATTGAGAGTCTGGGACACTTCACTGTGGAAACCTAGTGAGAACCCTGGATATATACTTAGATATCAATCCTGTAAAACATACAACCATGATTCACAAAGCCATACATGATGATAAGTTTTTTCATTTAAGGTGTTTGATGAATATACATGGGAACTTTTTTTATTTGTCGACCTATTTTCAGGTTCCTCTACAAGAAATAAAAGATGAAAAGGAAAAATCTAAGTCGTTGAATATTATTGAGATGTTGAAGACTTGTGAAGAGAGAGAGTCAGAGTTATTAAAGGTAATATAATGCTTAATATGTATTGAATATTTTCTATTCATGTGTTCTTCACAGTAAAACTTTTAATTAGCTTGGATATGACCATTGATGAATACACGTATGTACACGTAATTGTCTTGTTTGGTGACTATTGCTTCAGACAGTTGTACTGAACCACAAAATGAGATGTACAGTTAGTTGTGTTTCTAATTCATAACCCATAAGTTAAATAACAGTTGTTTTTTTCCAGACATATATATTATAACTAGCTGCTACCTTTTGGGTGAAATCTGTTGTTATATAATTTCATTATCATTTGATTTTTTACATGTCTACTATAAATATATCTGTTTCCATTGGCAAGTCCTTTTCATCTTTACTCGTATAACCTAATCTATATCAACCTGTGAGATTATTAACAACACTTACAGTTCACTTATGTTTCCCTGTTTTTCACCTGTCAAGTAAGTTTTGGGCATGGATATTCTCCAGTATTGAAGCTTTTCAGCCAGGATATAATGATATAAAAGACTGTTTGGTTTATATATAATTGACTAATTCAGTGTTGTGAGTGAATGTTTTATTATTGTTTAGTTTTTGTTATAATAAGAGTTGAAAGCTGATGATTGTAGGAGGTTTTGTTAATAAGTCATTGATGTTGAGAATATTGAATGTCACGTACAATACATTGATGTTGAGAATATAGAAGCCGGACGAACGATTAAGTAATAAAGATATAAATAGCATGAGATGAGCAGGAATAGCAGACAGATAATAGTGAAAGAGAATAAAGTTAGCATGAAGTTAAGTACCATACAAGAGATAGGCCTAATGATTGACATAGGCCTAATGTTTAATATGTTAGTGAAACTATCAGTAGAAAAGAAGATATAAAAAATAATTTTATTCCGTAAAAGCATAGTTCTAAAGTAATTGAACCAGTCTGAGTGCATTTTAACGAAAGGAACAGAGGATCTTCAGAAGAAAAAATACCAAACGATTATGGTAACTCATGCCACAATTGTAAGTTAATCATAGAGAATACTAGTGCGATAGAAATAGAGAAGATAAATAAGTTTGTCAATTGAATTTCTAAAGCAATTGAATAGGCCTAAGTGGATATTTGACAAGGAGGAGAGAACTACATATATAGTATTTATGAAATACCCATGATATTAGAAAAACACGTAGATTCAAGAAGTCTTGGTAGATATGAATAAAAAACCCTATAACCCGACGCGACTTTAGTTAAGGTTACCGACCTTTTACGTTAATTAGTCTCGGGTTAGTTAAGGGTTTTTATTTTATTTATACGATATACACATAATATCTATAGTGTTGAAGAATTTATTATACATATGTTTAACATGTTCCAAATATATATATATATATTATTTTGAAAACAAGTGAAGTGTTTGCTGTTTATTCATCATTGAATTTATCGCTAACAAGTCACAGACACCTACTGTAGAAGAATCTTAAGCTCAACAACTACATGGTATTTATTTATATTATTAAGAAAGCTTCTCTATTTGACAATTGGCAAAAGGGAAATTTGTGTGTATATATGTCGCCTGTCTGCATTCATCCCTGTCGTTGTTGGCTTCTCTACTTTCCTCAGCTCCTACAGGGGGTCATAGTTCCACCTCATTCAAGTGTCCCGAGATCTGCCTCTTGGTTTGTTGATACCCAGAATAGATTCTGCCCATATCAGAATGCTGCCAGTGGCAGTGGTGACTACCATGCCTTTTGGTTCTGTGGGGGCTTGGCTTCGAGAATTTCTGGATGTGTGGAAAACCTTTACCACAGATCCATGGGTACTACAGATCCTTGCATCAGTATTAGTCATTCAGTTCACATCTTCACCATTATTATCCACCCAACCTGTAGTATTTCTCGGATTTTGGAACTTCGTTCCAGGGCTATCAGAGATTTTTTGATCAAGGGGGCAGTGGAGAGATTCCTCATAGTTCATCCAGGGTTTCATTCCCATCTGTTTGCTTGGCCCAAGAAGACAGGAGATTAGCGTTAGGTCATCGATCTTTCTCATCTAAATCAATTCCTAGATCTTCCAAGGTTCACAATGTAGTCATTCCTCACTCTGCACAGGCATTTTTTGCCAGGACTGTGGATGACCAAGTTCATTGTCCCTGATGCCTATCTGCATGTTCCCACAGTGGAGTCATCCTGCCACTATCTGCATTTTGTGCACAAGTGTCAGGTGCTACAGTTCAGGTCTCTGTCCTTCGGAATAGAATTAGCATCATATGTGTTCTGCCAAATTGTACAAGCTTTTGCTTGTCACCTCCATTCCCTGGGCCTGTACACACACCATTACATGGACAACTGGTTACTTCTGGCACCATCTCCTCAGTTGGCAGAATATCACACCTAAGTTCTACTTTCAGAAGTAACCAAGGTAGGCTATTTTATCAGAGCTGAGAGGTCTATTCTTACTCCAAAACAATATACTGTCCATCTGGGCATCTTTTTTCAACATGTATCTCAGTCGACTCGCATCTGGCTCCACATGCTATGGAACGGGCAGTATGACTCTTACTCTTTTTTTGGGGATGTGGGCATCACTTGAATCCATCATTCCTGTGGGATGGGTGCACATGAGATCCCTTCAGTGGTTTCTACCCAACCAATTGATCATGAACAGGGATCCACTGGATTCCCCAGTTTCCTTATTCAAGATCAACAACTTTGATCTTGAGTGAAACACTACTATGAGAGGTGTTCCTCTGTCGCCACCTCGTCCAGAGATCCATCTTTTCACAGATGTCTTGCTTTTAGGATGGGGTTCATATCTCAATGGTCAGGAATTCCATGGCTTATGGATGGATGACAAGGCTTCCCTACACAACAATGTTTTGGAACTTTTGCTGTTCAAAGGGTGATATTTCAAGGTCTGGATTTATTAAGCAGAAAAATCATCATGCTTCACTTTTACAATTCCACGGTGTTCTCTTACATTTTCTGTCAAGGGGGCACTCAATCCAGGTCTCTTTGTTTTAGAACCTTGGATCTTCTTTATTAGACCCACTCCCATCATATCATATTCTACTAGCTTGCCATGTTCCAGGGTTGATGAATCTGATTCTCCCAACAGTATGGATGGTGCATTGTGTGGTTTTCCATTGTATTTGCTCTCAGTTTGGGACACTGATGATCGATTCATTTGCCAATCATTGGAACACTCAACTACTGCCATTTTGGTCTCCAGTATTTCACCTTCAGGCATTGGCAATAGATGCATTCAGTTAGGACTGGACAGGATTGCACCTCTATGCCTTCCCACTGATTTGTATGTTACCAAGAGTACTAGCTATGATTCGTTCAACCCTTTGTCAGGTTCTGTTGGTAGCGCCACATAGGCAGGCTCAACCCTGGTTTCTGCTTCTGTGGTACCTTCAGGAGTGCCCACTTCTTCCACTTCCTATTTGGCCATCTCTTTTGGGTCAGCCATGATCTGACATCGTACACCCAGCTGTCCTGAAGCTCAAGCTTCATACATGGAGGTTATGCATTCCTTCACAATGCATTTTAGTTTGACTTTTAAAGTTGCTATGTATCTGTCTCAGTCTTTGCGTAGTCCCACAATGGACATTTATCAACTGTAATGGTCACATATATATTGACAATTGTGTATTGCAAGGAGGTTGAACCCAGTTTGTTTAGAAATGCCAACCATAGCTCTCTTTTTTTTACCTGGCTCTTTGACAAGGCATCTTTCACAATTGCCTTATATATGGTAGTCTTATCAACTACCTTTAGATACTCAAAGAACCTCTCAAGTCATTTTGGGTCCTTTGTCCCAACCGACTGTTTCAGTTACCAAACTGAAATATTAAGGTGGTATTAGATGCTCTTTCTCAACATCCATATGAGCTCTTAGCCTCATGTCTCAGGTATCACCTTTCACTTAAGGTTTATTTTTGTTGCTGCTTGCCTGCGGATGTCACCAGTCGGCATTGTTTACCCTGCATGTGCACAGGATGCTTTATTATTCTACCTACATCCTCCTATACCCAGACAGGTCCTTCTTACCTAAGACACTGGCCACCAGGGAAGAGGATAAATCCTTTTCACTGATTCATCTGACTGCTATTTTTCAACTCTGTAACTGATTGGACTCTGATCTGGAGGTGCTAGACAAAGACTTTTTATTCATTGAGATCCTTCAGTTTACTGGGAATTATCCCCAGTTACTTTGTAGAGGTTGGTAAGAAAATTAATCCATATCACTTATTCTGGGCTCTCTTTGGAGGTGAAGAGACTTCTGCATGTCCCATCTCATCAGATTTGTCACATTTCTATATTCTTAGTGGCCTGGTTGAATTGCCTGCTGAAGGAATTTGTGTGGACTGATATATGGACCTCCCCAATACTTTTATCTCACGTTATTTGTATGAGGGTTTTTGATTACCCCCCTGTAGCTATCTTAACCACATCTGCCAGATTTTAAGGAGGTGTGAGTATCTTCATTACTAATACTGCCTCTTATTTACTTTCCAGAGTTCCTCACCTCTTTTTCAGAGGATCCCACTCTGTGGCAATCATTGTCCAGGCAGGTGTGCTTTTATCAAACCAATTCTACACTAGCAATCATTAACACAATATACTTTATCTAGGTTGCAACAGGCTCTGTAGAAATGAAGTGTCCCAAAGACCACCTAAAGGCAGACCGAGTGGTATTACTGTACTATGCTGGACTGTCACTCATGGACTATCATGAGTAAAGCATAAGAAGATCCTGCCTGTCTCTGCCAATCATTGTGTCAAATATATCTGGGTCAGTTTGCTTTTAACAATTTAGGGAACTTGGTTCACCTACTGCACTGTTTCCAGAGCATTGTTCTTCAGGACTCCCTAATGCTCATTACCCTCCCATGTTCTACTAGGGAGTCCTTACCACACCTGCCAGTTATTTGAGTGCTGGAAAGAGGTTATTCCTCCAGTGTTCAAGTGAATTTCCTCCACTCTTGGAGAAGAGGGCAAAGTTGGGAGCCTTCCTACCTGGGACCCTTGATTTTTTTTCCCCAGATGTTTGTATTATGTGGAATCCTACTCATAATACTGGTTGAGATTTGATGCTTGGCTATCATGTTGGGTTGAGCATGGCCCTCTTTTTGATCAATATTGGTTCAGTACATTGTTCATGAAAGAGGTTCCATTGTGTTCTTGTAATTCCAAATGCAGGTTGTCCCATTCTGGGTCCTTAGTTGAGCACAGTTTGTTCCACGTCTTCCCCATAATTCCGGGGACAAGTGGAATTTACCTTGCCCACATCCACATGGTTGGGGAGTGAGGATGATTATATTTACAGTTTAACACTAGTGTTACTTTATACATTTATTCTTCTTAACAATTACTTGTAATTTTGTAAATACAAAAAAATTTAAAAACCTAGTCATATTTTTGGATTTTTTAAATAGAAATACAGTGCAGCATTAAAATATTCCAGATGTATAATTCATGGTGAATTATCTAAACTCATTATAGCAGGAATTTTGAAAATTCATCATCATCAAGTTTTGCTGCTGCTATTTCTATTCTATTAAGGTTTCAGACCAAATTTGTGTAAAAATATTTCAGATGTATAACTTTTGCTAAAAGTATACCTAAAGTGTTGACTTTTTATTTTATTTATAATTCTATTATATTACTATAAAACTAGTAAAAGGAGTCTAAAAGTGTTTCAAAAATATTTTGTGCAATGTAGAGATAGAGTTTTGTTTTCAGTGGACTGCTCTTGCATGTTTCTAGAGTGGGGAAACGTTTTGCCTCTTATACTGAGGTCTTCTAGAAACAGGCAGGAACGGCACTCCTATATCAATGTCAAAGAAGGCCTCAGTATAGGAGTAGACTGTTTCTACCTGTTTTTAGAGTGGAGAAATGTTTTGGCTCCTATAATGACGACAAGGAAAGCCCTCAGTATAGAAGCTGAAACATTGACCCACTCTAGAAACAGGCAGGAACAATTCACTAAAGTCAAAACCCTAAAATGTTAATTTCTTGAGAAGTATAAAAATATGCTACAGATATTAGAATAACAATTTTCATGAAATTGAATTACGAGAGTATCACAAGTTGATTTGATAAGTTTATTTTTATTCCTCAATTTCTTCACAGTTACAGTATAGAATATTTGTATTATTTATTTTTACTTTTTTTATATATTTTATACTTTTATAGAAATGAAACTTGAACTGTTTCTATAAATATAGTTGACTACTGATATTCATCGCTACAGACTGGCAAGAGGAACTACTGATATCACACAGTCCTCTGTCTTAGGTATGAAGATAATATGTAAAATGTTTTCACTCTCAGGATTTATTAATGTTGTTTATGGGATACTTGAATGACAAAATTAATTTTTTTTTGTATTTTTAATTCCTTCTTATAGCATGGTATTTCTTAGTGTAACAGTTTAAAATTATGTAAATTGCTGACAAAATTTAGTAGACATCCATCTAGTTATGATAGCTTAACTAGAACTTTATTGTATATACTGTATTGAAGTTTTGGGAAATAGACTAAGCACATAACTGGTTCAGAGTTTTGTAATCTGAGTTTTTTTGGGATAACCAGACCTCTTTAAAACTTAATTTAGAATAATCCTTATGGTTACCCACAATTTTTGAAAAAAAAAGTGATACAAATTGTTTTCATCTAAATTTAGTACTTGTATTCTTATCAACAAGTTAACTTCTGAACTCATTTTGTTCAGCTATAGCTCTACTTTCTTAATCAGTAATATCTCCTAACCATAAACTCCTCTTATTGCATCCTCTAGTTTGAATTTCAGATGTGGCATAGTCAGACATTATGGTATATCTGCCAAGCTTATCTCAGATACATGATTTGCTAATCATCACAAAATTTGCAGGTTCTCTTGAGCATGTTTTCAAAAAACTTTTACACCATTTTAGATGTTTTAAATATAAATTTCTGTTTTTATACCAAAAAATGTTGTATTTTTTCACATTTAAAAATCACTCTTAACTAAATTTACGGATAAGTTCTATGAAACAGCTTGCACAATTGATGTTTTACACATAACTTATGTTTACTAGTACGTATATAGACGCTGGTTGTTTTGGAACATAAAATTTTACTGGTTTATGATATTTCACCTTATCTGTATAATGATGTTGTCACAATATTTGGAAAAGCAGTTTTATTTAAAAATTCATGTTTTAGTTCCTTATGAAGATATTTGTACGTGCTAGCGATTTTATAAGCCTGATGAATCAGTATTTTGACAGAATTTAAACAAATGTGAAATAAACTGTTAAACTATAGATCTGTAAATGTTTTCCTGTGATATGCTTCACATACAAGTATGTTATCTACCAGTATCAAGAAAATCAAATTGAAATTCTGTTACAAATCTTACATTTTTATGCCGACAATTAAGATATTGTAAAAAATGCCACTCATTTCATGAATCATTAAAGGTGACAAAAGTGTTGTCAATATATTTGATAGTATATAGACTTGAAACTCCAACCATTGTTTTCATAATGGCAAAGAATGAAGTTGGAAAGTGATGGTGTTAACCTTGATCACATTGGAATTACATCAATTTGATTGTATATATTAACATTAAATAAAAAAAAAGGAGAATCCACGAAAACATATTTTGGAAGTCTTTTTTACAACATTTTTATTCCGACATAAAAGAACATTTGTCAATTGTAAAGGCTTTTCTATAGGGATATTAGTGTACAAAGATTCCTTTTGAAATCCTGTACAATACATGTTGTCATAACTTTTTAATAGTTGTTTAGCATACTTGGCTTATGAATAAGATCATAAGATTTAGTAGAACAGGTTAATTCAATATTTATTATGTATGTGATTGTCTCAGGAGGAAGTGGTTTCATAGTAATTTTTTTATCTTAAGTTTAGGATTTGAGGTTTGGTTTTCAATTGTTATGGTGTTGTAGTAACCTTTTTTTTTGCCAATGATCCCATTACTAAGACAAGAAGGAATGAAAGTACTTTATTCATTTTGTAATTTATCTCATCATTAAAAACAATTATTTTTACTTGTGAGGCTATGGTTGAATTAGTGGAATTAAATGGCAAAAATTGTTTAGTGCCTGATAGTGATGTGATTGATGGATTTTTATGTGCAGTTCAAATTCAACTAAACATATGAGACTTAGCACTGGAGGACAAGGGTGTTGACTGGTTAGTAACAATTTAGATAAAAAGCAGTAGAGGATATATTAACACATGTCTAAATGAAACATTGATTCTGTTTTAGGTAAATCAAGTTTTCATTGAAACATATTAATTTATCCTTTATTCCTTTTATCTGAATTGTGCCGGCTCACTTCTTGTGGAACAACAGTTACTCATCATTGGTTAGTAGTTGCCATTTTGTGTGTGTTGATCTATAAACCTCTAGTGTTTCGTTTGAAAACCATCATTTTAGGAAGACAGACAATTTTTTAATTATTTGTTCTCATGTTCTCAACATTCCTGTATGAAAACATGTGGACAGATATTATCTTACTGATTAGATGTGCATACAAATTTACATATGGTTTCGTGTAAAAATATTAAAAATATATGAAAAGTGTGATTGCTCAGAGAGAGTTACATGTATAGACTGTAGTAAAAAGCTTAATTTACTGGTATTTATTTGTTATAACTATTTTGGTATGTTGTATTAATATGAAAATATAGTTATTATTTAAAAAATTGTTCTTAACTGTAGAAACTACTGACCAACTAAAGTATAGTTGAAGTTAATTTTTACTTGGTTTTCTAGTATTTGTTTAGTTTGCTGCAGAATAGGGATAGACCATTTGGCATGCCCAATTCCTCTACTAAATCAGCCCATCAAAATTCAGAACTGTAATTTAAAAGGGGGTTTTATAGTCTTGAACTGTATGTAATATAGTCCAATAATAAACAGCAAATAGTTCACCACTGAACATATAATATCATTATACATTAAATCTGGTATGTAATTTTTAGTATTATAAGGTTTATTATTGTACTTAATTTCCATTGTTATAATAACTTTTATAAATTAGATATTTAATATTGTATCATGATTCAGGAGAACATTTAGAATATTACAAAAACAAATTTTGCCAAACACTACTAATTGTAAAAATAATTGTTACAGCTAAATTTTATAGCAGCAGTGAATTGTTTTCATTAATCAAGAGAATATCACAATGTTGAATTTTAAAATTAAAGAGAAATGTAATAAGTAAAACTTTCAAAGAACACTTTGAAGAGGCCTTTCCACCACTAAGAATTTAGTTATGTAAGTTATATGCATTCTGTAAAATTTATTAACATTAAAATGATATAAAATTTAAATTTGATAAAAAAAATGGAATAACTTTATTGATTAACTAAAGATCATACAAATAACACACATTAATCATCTTAATAATGCAATATTTAATTTTTTGGATTATCATTTGAATGAAATAGAAATGATAGTTTTTAATCTGTGCATCAGTTTTTAAAAACTTAAATATGAATAGTTTCAGAATAGAAAATATTGTTTGATAGTAAGGAATGTTTAATACGTTAGAACTGAAATAAGTGGAATAGCTTTTTCATTTCATAATTCTGATTATAAACCATATATATTGATACATATAATCATGAATTGGCTGGTTTTCTTGGATGATTCTGTAGAAGAATCAAGGCCTCTAGTTAAATGTGATTACTTGACCAAAACATTTTTTGTATAATTTACGTATGATCGTGTAATCAGTGGTTGACTACATAATCAATACAAAGTCAGTATGTGAATTTCTAAACTTAGTAAAGTCAAGTCTAGAACAGTATTACCAGATTTATAACTTTTGACTTGTTTGTGACTTTACTTTTTGGTGCTCAGCAAGTGGTGCCTGCTGGCCAGCCAGACAGTTTTATTAATGATTTATCAAAAGACTATAAATTTAAAAATGTTTTAGTTATTTAAAAAAAAGAATTGTTAAATAGCTGTTGATTGTGGGAATTGCATTAATTGTCTAACATCATCATATATGTTATTGTTATTACTTAAGCTAAGGTTTGCAGTTTTACATTTTGCCACATAACAATGCATAATTTTTTTCTGTATAATTATTGTATGATTAGCAATTTGCCGATGCATAATTTGAATTTTGTTTGCAACAAATTATCACCTAAAACAAGACAGATATAATGAATATTCTTTTAAAGATAGTTAAGAAATTCTTAATGAATTAAAATGATTTGCAGTTCAGTAGGGATTTGTATCATAGAATCTTTGTACACTCATTCTTTAGAAAGAATTCTTTAAATATCTCCTAAGTATTCTTTAGGAAAAGCCCTTATAAGATAATTGTCCTTTTATATCAAAATGGAAATGTTATAAGAAGATTTTAAAAGCACATTTTTTTCAGAAATTATTGAGATTAAGCTGTGGACCCAAAGTGTTTGTTCTTTCACCTGAAAGACACCTCATGCACACAATGAACAAAATGGCTAGGCCAAAGATCCTTGTGATTCAGGCTTATCTGTCCCTAACCAATCTGCAGCACCATCCATCTGAACAGGCTACTCTTAACTAAATATCAGTATATATGGAATTTGGTAGAATTGCTTTGAAATCAAGTTAGCACTGTCACATGTAAACTTATTCTTTCACAATTATGAACACATGAATAAATACTAAGTTGTAATGACTTAACTTTCTTTACTAGATATAAAATGTGACCAAAATATTTTATTTTATCCATACTCAAAATAGTGTACCCTTAATACTGAAAGATATAGTCATTCTTCTGTAAACATCCTTATTCAAAATTCATTATTTGAAGTAAACATGGAGGATAATGAATTTCTAATCTTTAAAAAATACTTTTTCTTACAGATGTAGTACCTATCAAGACCTTATTTTTTGATATTCTGGTCTTCTTTCCCATAGTATTTTCATTAATCCTGTAGTATGTGTGAAGGTTTACAAGAGACCATTAAGAATAATAAATGAGAAAGCTATTTGAGTTGTGTATTACATGTTTATGTAATATATGCTCAGTTTTCATTTTATTACATTAAAATTTTACAGAAGAGAAAATAAAAATGATAACAGAATTAACCAACCACCTGTCTTCAATCATTAGTGAAACCGATCAACTTCGATATAGGCTTCAGCAACCTCTCACAACTGATGCTGTTAATATTCATGTGTCACATCACAAGTATGTACTGAACTTTTGCTGTAAAGAATATAAATTTGTGATACACAAGCTTTAAAAATTGTGGTAAATTAAAATATTTTCCTCTCTATAAATTTATTAATCTTTTAATCATCTGCTGTTGTATGATAAATGGTTTTGAATTGCATTTTGTTTTTGTTTTTTCTTGCCAATTCCTTCTATTTTTGTGAACTGTATAATGGATCTAACTACTGAGATACTAGTACAGATTTTAGATTGTTGAAATTGGATAACTAATGCTTTGTCACAGACATTATTAATGATTATGAGGTTAAGTGTAACAATAACTACTGTTATTGGAAAACCTGTTCCTACATTATATAGACAATACATTTTCTGAAACTTGTAAACTATGATTCAAAAAAACTTTCATTAAAAATGTATTCGTAAAACAATTTGAGTCGGTAAAATTGAAAAAATGTTAATTGTTTAGAATAAGAAACTTAAAATAATCAGTATCTTACCATAAAGATGATCCATTGTGTGTGTCAGTGAGTATCCATCACTGAAAGTTGTCTGTCTTGATTACTGTAATGTTTGGTATGATGATTGGAAAATGTCTGACAGTGTATATGTGGCATTTTGTTTTAGGATTTTTGCCTATAAATAGGGCACATTTCCACTCTGTTACAGACTTTTGGCTTTGAATTTAAAGACACAAGTACTTAATAAAGTTAAATCAGTCAATTATACCCTTCCACAAAACAGGGTATGCAATTAACATCTAATGAGGTCATTAGGGATTTGATAGCAAAGGAAAGGGAACATTATCTAACATTGTTCTTTATACAGTTTTTGCTTCTTTAATTGGAACCTTTGGACAGTATCATTAATAAACATAAAAATGTTTTTGAAGTGACCCTTAGTTGGGATAGGAAGTTAATAATTAGTTAATACCACAACAAAATTCTATCAAAGTTGTATAATCTGAGTCTGTACTATTAGAAAGATACTTTTTGCAATATTGATACAATATTTTTCTTCCAGACTGTACAGTTATTGTCAGGATAACACCCCAAGATTCGGTAGAAGTGTTAAAAATAAATTAAACAAAAATAACATAAAACTAACTCCTTACATAAAATTAGATTATAAATTTCAAACAATATAAAGAGTTAATTAAACTTATACAAGTAAAGATACAGTTTCCTTGAGGCCCTTTTTAGAATAATCAGTCTTTATTTTCATGAAGGGCAACTATGTTTTGGCAGTGTTTATGATGAAAGTTATGTATTTGAGTCCAGCCCTTTTGCATGTACAATTTGATCTCTCACTCCCAGTTTTGTAGCAAGCACATAGAAAATTTGAAGAATGTCCTTCAGATATACTGGCAGCATGGACCAAAGGATCTATAGATTATCATCAGCCTGAGAAAGCCAAACTGAATATCATTTATATTATTGCACTCTTTCCAGCTAGCATATTACTTTTTACTTTGGTCACCAGGTGATCAGAAATTGTTTAAGCTGAACTGATTGAGCTTAAAGTCTTGCATTGTTTTGAAGTAGAACAAAGATTAAAGAAGTTAGCTTTTCTTTTCCAAAAGAAAGAGCTTGTGATATTGCACCCAGAAAATGTGTGTAAAGTAACAAAAACTTGACATATGTTTTTAACAAGTTTAGAATGTAATTTTGCCACATCCACAATTTTTGTTTTTCCTGCAGAAATGTGAGCCAAAATGTTGCCACGTATGGTTTTGATATGGCAATGGCTAGGGAAACCATATCAATGTCTGGTATGCGAATTACTGTTTGGCTGGACTGAAATTTTGTGCTGCATAGGCAGTAATGGAGGAATATCCTGGTGCCTCAGAGTGATGTTGAAATTTCTGTTGATTGTTGCAAATGAATAGCATTTATATCCTTGTGAAAGAAGCAAGTTGATGTTGGTTGCCATTGACATAGATGAAGTTTACCATTGCTGCTAGAAAAAATTAATGAGAGCTATCTTGTTTTTCTCAGAAGAAAAAATAACTTCAGCTGTACAGGCATTTTCTGGTATAGTTGAGTGGATTTGGAAAAGCTTTGACTTATTTCCAGATCTTTATTATCATTCAAGAATTTTATGGGATTATTCTAGATATAAATCTGTATGAAGGTGAATGTAACAAGCACTTTAGGAAATAGCTAGGTTAATGAACTGTCTCAAAATTTTTTCAGCAATGTTTCTAAAGCTATTGCATGGTTTCTGTTATTGAAGCATTGCTTTGTTATCAATGTTTTTTTTTTCCATTGTATTGTGATAACTCCGTCATAGCATGTGGGACTGCTTTTTCTGATTTCCTTGATTCATGATACAGGAGTCTTATTAGGGTTGTAAAAAATTGCAAACATAGAATGCAGGGGTAAAGAAAAATTGGTTGCATGTTAAATGCTTATACGATCATGTGTACACAGTGATTAAATATTTTCAGAGAAAGATATACAAATGGTTTTCACATACCTTATTTACACTATATGCTGTTGGGAGTTTGGAAGTTTACTAACACTTTAGATACTCCTTGTGTGTGTAGATTTTAATAGCCCATTTGTGGCAGAAGTCTAGTTGATTATACCCCTCCACTGCAATTGTTAACTGAGGTGATTTTGGGAAGGAAAAACGTGCTCACACGAGACATTTGTAAATAGAATAACCAAAACAAAGTAATTCTGGGTGGACATCAGCATAGTCCACAGCAATTAGTCAAAAGGATTCCTCAAATTGTAGTCGGCCATGACTCCAAAGTATGAAAACTTGCTTAATACTGTGCCACACTGCTGGTGCTTCTATGAATGTGTCATTGGTGTACTTTAACTCTCTCCACACGTGCTTCTTCAATTTGATCGACTGTGACCTTTTTGTACTCATATAATGTAGTTATAGATTTGATACTACTAACTTTTGATATATTGTGTATATCTTCACGAAACTTTGCAGTCTTTCAGTAAACATTATAAGCCTTTCACATACAAAATATCATATTTTTTAGCAAAGTATTTTTCATAAACTAAACAAAGATTTGTCCTAGAATATATCGAGTATTTGTTTTGAATAAACCACATGCAAGGTGATTTTCATCTTAAGATTAAAAATACTTTTCTTCATCTCAAAAATCCCAAATTTCATTTGTGTAATCTCTAAAACCTCCTGAACACATTTCAAATATTTTATCTCTTATTTTCTCTACCCTAAATCTATACAAGATTGGTCAATTTGACTCCAAAAAAAAAATCTAAATAAATATAAATTACCCTCCTATTCTTTCTAGAATGACTTCAAATGTAGCGTGAAACTGCATTTGTTTTTCCTAAGTCGCTTTAAACTCGTAACAGTATACATCTATTTGTAATTAAATTTATTGTTTTATTGCCCTTTGAACCATGTATAACTACTATTTGTGCCATTATAACTTGTAAATTACTTGGGGAATGTGGAGCTCACATTACACTATTGAATTACATTACCCATGAGTTACTCTGAGCTGCTCGTGTGCATGCCTCATGATATATTTTTAATATATTATTATTGTTTATGTTACCCAATCTAACTTTAACTAACCAAAAGGGATATCTATTTTTACATTTTAGTTACTTTTATAATAATAAATATAGAATAAACATGAAAAACAAGAAATAAATTACTTACCCAATCTCCTTTTTTCTTGCTGTCGATGAGACTTAACCCTACATTTTTTATATTAATGATAGTAGTGCATTAAATAATGCACCAAAGAACATAGGCTAATAACATGCAAAAAGCAGAGACTTTCCCCTAACTCTCAAAATTTATTATTAGCTAAAATTTTATGCTATACTAATTGGTATAACATTAAAATAGTTTAATAAAATTTTGAATGTAAGACACTGAAACCTTGTGTCATATGCAGTAAAGGATACCCGGGGCGAGAGAGTTAATAGGATTCAGCACTTTATGTGCTAATATTAACAGCTGCAGTTGTAACTAAGAGATGATGCTTGCATAGTTGTCATTTCAAACTAGTTAATTAGTTCATAAGACAAATAAAGATTTTTGTAAAAAAGCATTATTAGAACATTTCTGACTTTCTTTCCTTTGCTTTTGCATGTGTAAGTAGCACGACTGTCTGGGGAGATGTTTAAATTTATCCCCCCCACTGGGTCAATGGTAAGTTTATGGACTTAAAATACTAAGATCCAGGGTTCATGTCCCTGCTATGGCCAAAGCACAGATTGCCCATTGTGTAATGTAATTTTGTACTGAAACAAGCAAACAAACAAATTTTAATTTAATTGTAGTTAGAGTATTTGATAACTGTAGATCATTTTCTTATTATAGCTTTTATCAGTATGAATTATGATATTTATTATTTTATTTAGTACATAACATATCCAAAAGTACAAGGACAACAACAAGAAACTAATAATCAAACATATTATTGTTTTCTTATGAATAAGTTAATATTTTAGTAGTATTTTACACGTTTGTAACAAAATATCTAAAAAGAACCAAAACAAGTTTCCTACAAGCTCATGCTGACTTATTTACTTCTACAGGCTATTTGTAGGCTTAACTGTTGAAACTTCATAATTTGACACACAACCATGAACAATTTCACTTGTTAAAATATACTAAAACCTATTTATGAAAGATAAAAACTAAAAAAAATATTTATGCTGTTATGTATTAATAAAAAAGTACTTTTTTAGGGTGTGAATGTTAGTGTCTCCAGAATTCACAGCTTCTGTATTTTTCTGTGGCTGCTAAATTATCAATAACACCAGGCAACAAAAACGAAACTTTCTCTGCTACTAGAAAAAATTCAATTATTTCTGAGTAATTTAACAATGTTGATACTAAAAATCATTTTGGAAATTACTGATCAACTGTAGTTTTCAAATTATAATAGATTTATTCAAAAACTTCTTATATTCGTTGAAAATTACATTTAAAAATGTTCAAAAACAATACATAATAGCCATACCAGTTTTAAAAAGCAATGAGTATAATAATATTATATACTGAAA